TCAGCGGCGCGGAGCGGACGCCCGGGGCCGCAGCTGCYGCCCGATTAGCGGGGCTGCGGCGCGGGGCCGGCTCCCGCGCTGCCCGCCCGCCTAGACACAACAGCCCCGCGGCCGGCACCGGCACCGCACCGGCAGCGCTGGGATGCAGCACGGCTGCCACAGCCCGGCCGCCCGCGGCTGCCTCGGCCTCTCCCGACACGTTTCCTTTGCTCTGAGGCTGTTTTGGAATCCGGGGAGATCAAACCCAGTGACTYGCTGCTCCGACAGCGATAAGCAGCCACACAATCAGCGCCCGYGCTGGGAACAGCCGCGCCGGGCGGGCGGGAGAGCGGCCGGCACCGGCACCCCGGCGCGGGCTGGCCCGGTCCCGCGCTGCGCCCCGACGAGCTGCGGGCGCCTCCTGGTTTTCCGCTTTTCCCTTAGCAGCAGTTGTCTGCARGGTGTGGGAAAAGAAAAGCAAGAAAACAAAAACCCAACCCCACCCCAAGCAAGCTGTGCTTTCCCATAGCTCCCCCTGCCCCAAATGCAACTTTTCCTGCCCGTATTGCGGCGCTCTCAGCGCAATTTGCCCTTCGCAGGCTCAGCTGTAGTGGCCGGGCCTGTGTATTATCTGCAGGATGTAATTGCCTTTAACAAGAGAATTTCCACATTCCCCACTCGGCCACAGCGCAATCAAAGCCGAGCCCCGCTCACAAGAGCGGCCATTTGAGTCCTAAATAGAYTTCTCTCCTGAGCAGGTAAAGAGATTTAATTAAAATTAGGGCTTCTCAAAATAGCAATATTTATGAGGACGGCACAGGTTAGCTTTGTTCTACAGAAGGGCTTAATAGAGCCTTAATGGATTGACCTATCATTCGATTTCATGACTTACATTCATGAAGCAGCTACTCTCGGGGAGGGGAGGAAGAGAGGCTTTTATAGCCCACATTCCCTTAAGCGTTTGCAATTTATCAGCAGCTTCTCCCAAACAAAAGGCGCCGTGAATAGGAAGAACACTTGAGGGCATAGAAATAATCCCAGGCATATCTGTATGTGTGATGGGCGGCTTTGTCACAGGACAGTCTTTGCAACTGCTGCAGTGTCTCTAAATGAAGTGAGTCAATGTTATTTGGACAACATTCTTTATTCCTTGCAGGAATGAAAAGATTATTCAAATATTCAATTAAACAGTGAATAGGGTCTTTCAGAGAACCAGGTGAGTTCATCGAGCAGAACTAGCTATTGTTGAGCCAGCTCAGGGGATAGGTTTGACATTTATCAATATAACTTCTTTTTTTTCCTTAATGACATGCACAATAACCTTACGCAGATAAAGAGATTTCATAACAACAAGCCCGGGCAGAGGGAGGCGGCCGTGACGGGAGCAAACGCGGCAGCACAGAGGGACCCGCGAGCTGAGAAGATGCAGCGTGGCCCAAGAGGGGCTGCTGGGGGCAGAGGAGTCAAAAACGGGGCCGACAGTGCAGGGCCACCTCTGCGCCCTGCGGTTTCTCTCTTGGGAAACAGCAGACTTTTAAAAGCATTTCTATATAATCATTTTATTTAACAGAAGAGCTGTAATTACTATCAGCATTTCCATATAACGCTACACAATCTAGTGCTGCCTGCTCATCAGGGTTGAAGCCCAAGCTCCCCGGGGGTTCCCATCGCCGTCCCCGGGGGCTGGGCTGGAAGCAGCGCGGCAGAGCCGGGATCCAGGGCGGCAGCACCCACCGTGCGTTCGTGTTCGTGTTCGCGTTCATGTCCCGCCGGGCAAGGCCCCGCGCGGCCTCCGCACCCCGGCTCTGCGCCCGGCCGCGCTGCGGCCCTCGCGGGATTAGCGGCGCGCTGCCGGATTAGCGTTACCATGTGTGCTGAGCCCGTGGCCGCTTTGGAAAACCCGGGTTTATAGGGGAATTAATTCCGCTTTTCTTCCCCAGACCTTGGGAGATTAATGGTGAGGAGGGTTGGCGGCAGGGCCCGCGAGGYGCCGCGCGCTGCAGCAGCAGCAGTGGCTCCGTCGGGGCTGTGCTGGGGTCCCCGGATGCAATGGGTGCCCGCATCTCACCGCCCCTCTCGCATTGCCCGCTGCAGATGTGAAGTACCTGGAGAACCACACGCTGGCTAAGGAGGCGCAGGAGAAGGCGAACGCGGCGCTGCTGGAGTACACGCTGAGCCACTACCCGCACGCCGCGGACAAGTTCCGGCAGCTGCTGCTGCGGCTGGCCGAGGTGCGGGCGCTGAGCATGCAGGCCGAGGAGTACCTCTACCACAAGCACCTGAGCGGCGAGGTGCCCTGCAACAACCTGCTCATCGAGATGCTGCACGCCAAGCGCACGTGAGCGCAGCCCCACGCACCGCGGCGCCGCTGCCGCCACGGCCCGGGACGCCGCCGCCTCCCGCGCCCCGGCCGAGGAGGGGGAAGCCCGTCCCGGTGTCTCCTCTTATTTATGCTGCTCCCCTCCCGCGGCCATCCTCCCGGGGCGCCCCGTGGACCTCGCGGCCGTAGCGGGGCAGGAGGCCACGCGGGTCTCGCCGGAGCCCGGGCTCTCGGCCAGGACATCCGCGCGTTGCTGCCGCGGCACCGAGATGCTCGGTGGGACGAGGCCGGTCCTGGGACACGTATGGTGCTGCAGCCGCCGTGCCTGCCACCCCCGCGCGGGGCAGGAGCGGGACCAGGAGGAAACGGAGCCGCTCCGGGAGCTGTGACGCGGCACCGCGGCACCGAGCCCGGGCTGCTCACAGGTGCGGGGCAGCCTCCGGATCAGTGTCCCCAGTAGCGCCGCTCTGGGGTGCCCACGGAGAGAGGCCGAGGACGGGCCGTGGCCATGGATGGGTGCCCATGGCTGTGCGGCAGYGGGAATGGGATGCGCCGGGGCCTGCGGGTGCCAGGAGCGGAGCCGCGGCCGGGTCGGGACCACCACGGTCCCGCAGCAGCTCCCGGGCACTGGGCTGCCGCCGCAGAGCTCCCTGCGCCCGCTGCGCCCGCAAGTGCCAGGACTGTCCCGGGGTGTGTGCAAGGCCCCAGCCCTGCGTCCGCTCCCTTCCTGCCGCCTTCCCACSCGGCCGCACGGGTCCTGGGCCTCGGCAATCCTGGAGGCCGACGCCACACGCAGCCTCCGGCCGCTGCGTCCTCTCCTCCCCAGCCAGGCTCTGCCGCCCGGCAGCGGCCCCTGCGCCCGGCCCATCCGCAGCCCCGCTCCGCTCTGGTTTCCACTGCAGGCGGTCGCTCCTCAGTCCCAGGGCCGCGGTTGGGCTCGGCCAGAGCTGCCGCCTCGGGACGCTCGGGCGCTGCAGCCTCCTCTACTTGAGCCGCTTCTTATATGCAGAAGAGCATGTTTGTTTTCAGCTTTTTGACATGTTTGTGCATTTTCCTCCTGAATTCTGTGGCTYGGTTTCACCTTCTTTTTGTGAACGTAAAGAACTGGGGAAAATGGTTTGGGAGGCAAAAGACATTTTATTTTCAGAAAATGAAAAGTGTCCTTAAGTGTCTGTCTCTCTCTCCTCCCTCTCCTTCACTCTCCACCCTTCCTTCCCAGGCAGGAGGTTATTAACTTCCTTGTCAGGAGCAAACCACTGTAATAAATTTTGCAGTTCATTTAAAAACGCAGACATGGTCTTTTTTTTGAGTGCATCTCTAACCTTCCCCTGCCCCTCTCCTCCTGCAGCTCCTCAGCCCGACTGCCCCAGTGGGCTGGCTGCGTTTGGCTGCTCTGGTGCGCACCAGGGCACCTCTGCATTGCTCAGCACCGGGACACAGGCACCAGAATGAGGGGGATTGGGGCTGGAATTTGATGCTGGAATCACGGTACYGGAGACTCGGGATCTGGTTCAAAGTGCTGCTCTGAATTGCCATAGCGACTCCAAGTGTGTTTTCCAAGTGAGCTCGGGAATGATGGCACGTAGGGAACGAGCATCTCTGGCGCAGGATTGTTCTTGTAGCTCTACGTTGTTGCTATGGGCAGGAGCCCCTGCCACGTACCAAGTGGCGGGGAGAAAAATCACAGCAAATCACAAAGCTTTGCAATGGGCCGCCTGCACTAACTGCCTGCGGACGCTCGGCCTGTGATGCAGCTGCCCTGGCCTCCTGGAGCAGACACAGGGGCTGTGCTACTGCCCTGCSTCTTTGCACCAGCGCAGAGCTGCTCGGAGGGCGGCCGCTTCTAACGGCAGTGAAGTGCCYGTGAACCAGCACACACGGTGCTGCAGCGCAGGGAACACAGCACAGGGACGGCCCAGGGGACGAGGCACCCCGAGCCCACGGGGTGCAGCTAAACTACTCAGCATTGCTAAATGCAGCACTGTGGGCATGACTGTTCACATGGACAAAACACAAGAGTGGAAGATTGCCTTTAAAAATCAGCATTTACTGTCATGATAGTTACAAAGAACCCAACACACTTCATATGCTCTAAACACTAGGAAAGTAACATCAGAAACAGTCTGATACAAAGAAGAGAGTGAGCGAAAACAACCCAGCTGCAGAGGAGAGCTAGACCAACTGGCTAGGAAGCCCAGGCAGGAGCAGGGACAGGGTTTCATCAGAAACTCAGCAAAAGATGCGATTAAAATCAGCTGGTTCAGAGAAAAGACGCAGAGGCAGCTCGCGCCTTGCTGGGCACGTCTCCCRTGCACCGTGTCCCGTGGCGGGGCGGCTCGCAGGCAGTGCCCGGCCCTGCTGCGACGGGCAAAGCTGCGCTTGTGCCCGTATCACCAAGGCCTCCCAGCAGAACACGTTCCGCTGGCCTCAAGAAGGCAGAAATGCAGCCCGGTGCTGCCGGGGGGCTCCTTGGGGCCGGCTGGATGTCCCGGCAAAGCGGGATATAGCCCCTGTGGCGGGCATGCTGAGTGCTGCAAGGCGCCTGTCCCGGGGAGGCCCAGCGCGCTCTTTATCCTCCTTAGGCCAGCCCAGCACCCCCATGCTACCCCGCCTTGCCTTGCGTTAGTCCKTGCACGCTGGGAGGAGGCCGCGCGGGTTAGCTCTGCCTCGGATGTGCTCCACGGGGAAGCCAACTGCTCCGAGCTGCCGCCCTCCAGGCCATGCGTCGTGGGTAAGACACGAGGAACCGCTGCTCAGAAACCTGCAACGAATAAAGGAGACCTCAGCTGTGCACTGCTGGGCAGGGAGGGCAGGGCCCGGYGGGCAGAGCGCGGCGGCAGCTCCACGCGCGCCCGGGCAGCCGTGCAGGAAGGGCACCCGGTTTAGGGCAGGAACGTGGAAACGGGCGCTGCGGCGGAACAGGGCACCGCGGGGCCGGGCTGCGCGTCCCGCTGCAGGCAGGACCGTYCCCGGGCCCTAAGGGGACGGTCTGGGCCATGCCCGTGGCTCCTGGCGCTCAGCGGGGCACAGGGCTGCATATCCATGACCACGTCAGCTGTTGGCTGGCTTTGCGTCCCAAAGATCAGGAATTTTCTTGCCATTTTAAAATAAATCTCACTTAACATGGTTTGGGGAGAGTTTCATAATTACTTAATATTGATCACAGCAAGAGGAGGCTGTGGAGACCAGGAGCTACATGTTGCTATGTGTGGCTTAGCAACATATAAACGTATTCAGACAGAATAATGAAATTATCGTGAGGAAACAATGAAGCCATCACTTGAGGAGATGGGGATGTGGAGGCCTCTTGGAGCTCTTGTTTTCCAAGACAAGGAAGACGGTAGTTATTGTTTGCACAAATATGTGCACCCCCCCGGCCAGCCCCTTCTCGCATAAAGGGTGCAATGAATCCGGGCGCATCCTGCGCAGCGCGCAGCTTTGTACAGCTGGGCCGCAGCTCGTTGCGGCAGAAACGCGCGAGAGCTGAGGCCTTGCTGGGGAGAAGCTGCTCCCGGGCTGGGAGCCCACGCAGGGGCACGAGGACATGCGCAGGGCTCCTCGTTCCTCCGCTCCCCAAACCGCTCCCTAGATCCCTGGGTGTTACCTGCCTCCGTTCCTGCATGCGTTAGAGCGGTGCCAAGGCCCGTTCCCGGCTGGCACGGGGGACGCCGGGGAGATGCAGCCTGCGAGCAGCACCGCAGCGCGCAGGCAGACGGGGTGCTGYTGTAGGAGTGTTCCCGGCAAATTCCTTGTTTGCAAAGTTTCCCTTCAACTCTCACGCCTCAGCTTCCCTGGCTACAAATCCAGGGTCCAGCTTTTCTCCCTCCCCCAGGGTCTCCCCCTCTCTGGGCCCTGCGGCAGGAGGTTTTCCTCCTGTCTCACTGCACAGCCTCCTCTGAGACTAACCCTGGTATCATGATAACTTTCCTTACAGCTGGCTGCGATGCTTCAAGTGGAACTATTTAGGACAAAATAGGCCGCTTTTCATTAAACTATTTTGGGAAAAAGAAATAGAAAGGGGGAAGTGGTTTTGCTGCTGAAATGATCTGTCTCCCATTCATCAATTTCCAAAGAAGTTTCCAAAAATGATCCAAGGAGAAAAAAAAGAAAAAAAAAGATGATCAAGAATAACTGAACAAAAGTATTCCTCGTTTGGAAAAGGAAAGAGAATAAGTAAAATATATAGCTGCAGGCATAAACATACACCCAAAGGACTCCAGGCCTTTTGGAATTAGCGCCAGAAGAGTCAGAGTTCAGACTCCTCCTGTTYTCTGCTCTCCCCAAGCCTCATTTTGCTGCACACCACGCGGCGCGGCCGCGGGCCGGGCAGCTCCGGGCGCTGCTGGGGAAGGGAGCTGCTCTCCCGCTGCATCGCCCCGCAGCAGCCTTCCTCGGGAAGCGCCGGCCGCCACCACGGGGCTGCTGCTCTCTGCAGGGGATGCCCGGCGTGCCCGGCTCCACGGGCGCTCCTCATGCACACACACAGGCTTAGGAGCTGCTTTTTGCTATCCCCTACAGCTACAAAACATCTGGGTTTACTGGAGAGTGTGCCTGTGCAGGGCTGAGCTGCCCTGGAGCCTCCCAGGCCATCGCTGCAGCGGGGCAGTGCTGCCGCTTTCATTTTCTGCGGTGGCTGGAAGCACTTGACCTCGAGCCCGGGGCCGTGGAGCGGCACYGTGCAGCAGTCCAGCAGGCGTGCGCTGCGCTCTGGCTTGGAAGCACACAAGTGTGTCGAGGAGAGCTCTTCTGGTTCAAGGAGATCTTCTCATTCCCCCTCAGGCTGAAGGAGCTGAGCCCCGCGGCTCAGGCACCCCGGGCACGAGGAGCTGCTCTTGTTGCGAGAGGAGAGGGTGGCCGCACACGAGGCGGCTCYGCGCTGCGCCGGGGCTCCCCGCCTTTTGTGTGGCTGCCCGCGAGCGCTTAACCCGCGCGGAGCAGGGCACGGAGACAGCTGCAGGTCAAGACGCCTGCGCCTGGCTCACACTCCCCTCTGCAATCCTAGGCTGCTCTCCTAAATCGGCTGGGAAATTCAGGGAGATGCTCTGCTGGGAGGCTCCCTTCTCCTCTGCATTGCTGTTTTGTAAAAACATACTCAGGACTTGCATGAGAAAAGAGCTAAATAACTAAATAACTAAATAACTCCCCAGGGCCTTCTGTAAATATATATATTAAAAAATATTTCTAAAATCAGAGGGAGTTGGGGAAATTCAATCACTTGCCCTCCACCCTCCAATCAGCACTCCACAGTGCAGGCACACGTTACCTGAGGACTTGAACGCTGTTAGCTCTACAGCCTGAAAGAGAGAACATCTGTGAGCAGAAACAGGGCTGGCTGCGCCGCTGCCGGAACCCCCGGCTCCTCCCGGCGCCGAGCAGCCTCCGTTCGCCCTCCCCGCTGCTGCAGAGGCAGGGAACCGAAGTCTGCRGCCACGGCCCAGAGAGATGTGATACTCTGGAGAATTTCCCTGGGAAAAGCTGTGCCCAAGGAGCAYGCAGGGAGCGTCCTGCACTCTCTGCACTCAGCGCACGCTCTCCTGGGACTCTCCCTCCAGCCCTGGGATGACCCAGCAGGCTGAAAATCATGCTGGAGACCACAGGAAAATTCAGGAAAACAGTAGAGCTAAACTTCCTCCCCCGTGCTGTGCTGAAAAGACTGCACAGAACCCTTCACTGTGTGCTCAAGCAATGGTTAACACTGCGAGSTGTGGAATTCCTGCTCCCAGTCCTAGAGCAGCGAATACCACAAAAAAAATTAAAAAGCTGAAACRCAAAGAACATCATGCCTGTGTTTGCATCTTCACTCTCTCAGTGTTTTGTCATTTTAAATGTTTTCAAACGTTTTTAAGTAGCATCTTCTCTTCCTCCAAACTATTGTGCAGCTGCCAGTGACATTCTTAATTCACAGCTCTTCCAGTGAYCTACGCGACTCACTCAGGGAGCAGGAAAAACAGCACTGACTTCTTATACAACTGAATAGCAGAGAAAGCAGCGTCTCTGCAGCCGAGGGTAGTGCCACCCTGTGCATAGGCAGAACGCCTGGCCCAGAGCACAGAGCTGGCGCCCAGGGCTGCGCTGCCGGAGCCACCGTCTCCAGGGGAAAAGGCACCTTGCTCTTCTTCTCCCCTACGCAGGCACTGGGATCAGCCCTGCCTTTTGAAGGCTGCTGAATACACATTAGCYAGAAAGGAAACAAATCCATTCTAAATGAAACGTTTAAGTAGCAAAGATACCAACAAGTCCTAGGTGACCCTCACACGGAGGAAAGTGGTTTCTATCTTTGCCTGCTAGGAAATGCCATGGCCTTGGCATTTAGGAAATCTGCTGCCTCCTATGTTAATGCTGCCTGCATTAGAAAACACAGGCCTCTGCACTAAGCTCTTTAGCCCATGTCTCGTATTTTGTGCCAGGTAGCTTAGCCCTGGTCCCAGTTTACACAGCAAGCACCTGGCTGGCTGAGAAAAGCATCACCTCTGATTCCTGGTAGGTGTTTAGCACAAGGGGAGGAACAGCATTAACCACGACATAAATAACGAGAAATGAAAATATGGATTTTGCTGAGTGGCTTCCGAATGATATGCCAGCTACAGAAGTATTATCTATTGGATAAATAAGAGCTGTCTACGTGACACAGGTTTTCAAAGGATAAATATTAGAGAGGGAGAGAGAGATACTTTTGTATGAGGCTCTCACTGAAGAAGTGTTAGATTTTATTCTGAGAAAATTACAGCACTTGTATGTCAAGTGCACAAGGACTGATGATCATTTCAATAGTGGGAGATGGAAGTGGTATCAGAGTAGTCAAATTTAAATTGTCCCTCTCTTTAGTCTATGCCTTGCTGAGCTTTACATCTGATTCACTTCTGCAGGGGGAGTGAAACGGCCGGCAGAACAATACAGGGTCTGCCCTCCCTGCACGGAGCTAAGTTGGCTACACGAACAGACAACAAGCCCCTGCTGCCCTTTTTTAATTTGCTGTCCCTGGGGGTAGTTTCTAGCCTTGACCTCTACCACCCTCTGTTTGATGCTTTACTTACTCAAATTCACTATCTCTTTCTGTTCATTTATATCCCCCGCTATAAATCGCCCTCCGAGCACTCCCCTCCCGCAGCGGAGCCGCCAGCCCCGGGGGCGGCTGCTGGTGCCGCTGCCGCAGGGCTGGTTCCCGCAGTGCCGAAGCCGAGCTCTCCCCTTGGAACGGGGCCAACGTGGGGGCTTCCTCCGGCTCTGGCCCCTGACCTGCACTCCTAGGCTCTGCTGCCTGCCCCCGGCCCTGCCAGCCCCGATGTCAGGCAACAGCCTCCTGCCCCAAGCCCCTGCCAGAGCCAAGCAGGATTCACCGGCAAGGAGCTGCTCCTTGATGACTGCCTTGCTCTCCGTTATGCTCCTACAGAAGACAATAAATACTCATTTCCTATTGCTTTTTCTATTACCAAGAGCAGTAATTATGGGCATCAAAACCATGAATCTCAAATATTTTAAACACACTGCTAATGACAAGCATACATTTTAATAAATCAGTATGTAAAGAATTTGTATTTAAACTTTCCTTTTCTTTTCAGTACTGAGAGGCTGCATATCAGGAGTGCTCCTCAGGAAGAGCACATGTATGCTGTGCTAACAGACTCAGTTCATTGCAAACACTGAGCAACTTTTGCAACATCCTGGGACAGAGGCATTTATTGTTATCCTCAGTCTGCAAACAGGATGGATGAGTCAGCTTCTGTGATTTGCCTAACATAAAACACTGAGTTTGTGCCAGAGCTGGTAACACTGCCAGGTGTCCAGAGTCCTAGCCATTTGCTGGAACCATCAGACACATTTCTACATCAATATTGTACTGTGTATATGGGTGATGGTGGAAAAAAATAGCACAAAACACTACATACCGGTCTCTCTGGGGACATAATTGATGAAATCCCCATGGGAATTTTGGCTCCAAAGTTTCCTAGGGCAGAAGCAGCACAATGAGTGTGGAAGCTAGAAATATTTACATTTTCCAAGAACTYTGTGCTTTGTGTCCTCTGAGTATCTCCCACTTAATCAAAGGGACCWACCAAGTTACCTGCACAATTCCAAGCAAGCAAATCATTGCGCCCATAAATTGTTTGGAGCGTGTAATACCTTTATTCCCCTGAAGCTTAATAACTTATTTCCTGCTGCCACTATTGCTTCTGCTTATCCAGAAAATTCATTTTAAAATATAAGTGCTGRTTGCTCACCCAAGAGAATACAGTCTTGCGTAATGTGGTTAGGAGAACCCCTTGCCCATGCTCAGCCTGACTGCAGGAACAAGCTGGATCCCTCTGGAATCTTTGAGAACATGTTGCCTGCCCTCCCTGGGATTCTGGCACCAATCCCAAAGTGTTCCCATAGCCATCAAATTGTTGTATCCTTTGCAGTGTGCACACGGGTTTGACACAGAGCCAAATGAATGTACGCTAAAATTCAAGCCTCCTCACACAGCCTGGGCCAGCAGGCAACTCTACCTTTGTTGGTGATATTCTTCACTGGAGGCTCTTTCTGAACACGACTTGACAGGACACTCTCGGCTGCAGAAGGACTCGGTTTTCCAGTCTCCCAGGAGGTTGTATTTCTTGGACTTGATAAGTAGTTGATGGGATGAGAGCAGTTCTGTAATGACACATAAGAGATACAGGACACAGGAAACTGCAACACATGCCTTCCTAGAAAAGTGTGAGCCCAGCTCCTAATTTAAGGATTGAGCACATCTGTACTGCTGCTATTGAGTCTGACTCCCACCCTACCCGGGGAGGGAAAGCTGCTGCCTAATCAGGGCAGATTAAGGGCATTTTTCTGCAGGACTGCAAAGAAGGTACACAGTCTCTGCCACTCTCCCTGCACAGGATGACTGGGGATTAAAAATAAGCTATATTTCCAATTCCATCTCCTCAAAAGAGTCCAGGCACTCATCTAGGGCCTCTTGCCAGTAGAACAAAGGTGAGCAGCACGGCTTCCTTGAACTTACTGTGAACGACAGCGCTTTCTTCTTGTCTTTCATTCTCTGGATGGCATTCCTCACCTGCAGCAGAGCAAGGACATTAGAGGAGGCCACAGCAGCAATAACAGCAGGAAATCCTCCAGCAAGTCATGGGGCATAAGTAAAAGCTGTCCCAGCAGCACAATCTGGGCTATGCTGCCYGCTCTATCAGCAAAACCCCAGTCATCCCCTTAATTACTAGTAAACTGTTGCTCTGAAGATTGACCAAACCCCAACCAGGGGTATCTCTTACCTCGCTGTTATAGATTGCATAGACCAGGAATATGTACAGGCCCTGGAAAGGAGAGAGCACAGAAGAGTTAGAGGCACGGGCTGCAGAACAAAACGCGACAAGGCTTGCTCCCTGCCAGCGCTGCGCCCGGCCGCGCYGCGCGCTCCCTGCGGAGATGCCCGCACGCCGTGTGCCAGCCGGAGCTGGGAGCTGTGGCACACACCAGTGCCAGGGCTCGGTGCCGGGCACAGCACACAGCTTGGGGCATGGTCTGAGCGAGCACCACCTGGAGGCCACAGCCAGGGGCTAATTACAGCTCCAGACCCACCATTCTGGCCTTAAGGCAGCTCTATCTGGTCCTCCAGATTTATGTTGTATCTGTGGGGTGTTTGTTATCGCTGCTAGATAAATCAGCTGCAGCAAGAAGAGTAATCCATCTTGTCTTCAATGAGCCTTGCTCTTCATCTGCGCACTCTTGGCAGGCGTAATGGTAGCAATAGCCTGGCGCCGTGCCATGACCTGTCCTTCAGACAGCACTGCTGGTCACTCCTACAGACCAGATTTCTGGTGGGGCTGCCAAGGCAGGTCTTCCTTGAAATAATCATTCTGTATAAAAGCGGGGATGGGGGAGGGAGCGGTGAGGTCAGCAGGGAGGAGGGCAAGGAAGAGGAGGCCCAGCTGCAGAGGCGGGCGGAAGCGGAGCTGTGCGCTGGAGGCGCCGGATCCCGCCCAGCAAAGCGGAGCCCCATCCCGGGCAGGGCTCTGCCCTGTGCCTCCTGCTCGCAGGGGTACCCGGAACAGGTGCCAGGCTGGGCCGTGGCCCGCGGGGATGGCCGGGATGCTCCCATGGCATGGGAGGTGCTGTGCTCCGCACGGCGCTCCCAGCAGGATGCGCCTCCTGCTCCCCGGAGGAGAAATGGTGCATCCCCAGGGATCGCCGCCTCAGGAAGGTCCCACTCCATCCAAGAGGGGACTTTTGGGGATGCTGAGGCCTSATCCAGCCCCGCTACCCCTGGCAGCCACAGAAGAGCCCTGCAAGGGCTCAGGGACATCGTCTAAACAGAGAAGCAAGGCAACAAGCTCACGTCGTCAGCAAGTAGCCATAATTAGAGCATAATTCCTAAGCACCGTCCTGTGCTCCATTCCACACTATGCAATCCTCCAGGCCTGACCCAGAGGCAGTTGTACAAGTGGGAGATATTTAAAATACCTCAGGGTCTTGGAAAGACATGTATAAAAACATCCAGCTGGAGGCCCTACCACAAAGAGGAAAATGAAACAAAATCTCCCAGTGTGAAAATCAGCAGAGAAACACAACTGCAGGAGAGGCCAGCAGCAGGGACGACTCTCCCCAAGAACAGGAGCCCTTCCAGGCTCAGCAGCCTGGCTAGGTGGCCAAAGTGGCAAGGAAGGCAGAGGAGGGGGCCACGAGCCCTTGTGCAAAACCAGCCCACAGGCTGCTGCACGTGGCAGTGACACCAAAAACCTCTGCCACCTCTTCACCAGCACAGTTGGTTCATCCTTGGCGGGGAACACGCGTGATCCTTCGTGATTTTTAAGACCCGTTTTGGGCAGACTCTAGCRCTGCAGCAGATGACACTCGCACGCTGGGAGCACCGCGAGCCGCAGACTCCTCCTGCCTCTGATGTGGCTTTGTGGCCACCGTGGGCACCACCTGGGCTCCATCGGCACCCAGCTGCACCATGCAGGCAAGAGCTGAATCAAAGGCAATTAGTCATTATAAGTACATAAAAATAACTTTKTGTGTGTGTGTGACAGCAGCTGCTGCACTGGGATTTCAAACAAAGCCCAATCCCCACAAGGCCTCTCTGGGCAAGACCAACGGGTGGTTTCTACYGCAGGGATAGAGGTGCTATCAGCAGTCAGGCAGACCAGGAGCTCTCAGGTGAGCCCCAGTCCCCTCCAGTTACACATCACGTGCTGGGGTAATAGCAGAATTGCTGGGTAGGACCTACAAGTTTACACGTTTCTAGTATTTTCAGCCTGGCAGGGTAAGCCCTGCGTGCTCATTACGGTGGGCTTAGTCTTGACCTTGCCTTGGCTGGAGCACTGCTCACACTGGCTAACACAGTAACCAGCAAAGACAACGGGGTATCCCGAGAGCACATCAGCAGGACCAGAGAGGAGTGAGCGGCTTTGTAAATCCCTGCCCTGAGCCAACCCTGGGAACATCCTTCCACCGCTCCAAGATCAAACACAACCAGCAGGTTTTGCACACACTTTTTCTTAACAACAGGCACCTTCACCCAGSACTCAACACTTGGCAACATGCTGGTGCTTCTACCTCTGAAATCATGAGCTAGAGAAGGTGTTGCTGACTGCTAATTAACCTCCAGGTCAGCAGCGGGAGCCACCTCCAGCTCAGCAGCACATGACGTTGCTTTTCAGTCACTCAGCTGAATTCTTGTGCTGCCAGGCGAGGAGGAGCAGTTGTCATGCTTGGTGTCGACGCACAGAGTAACCTTGAAGACAGGCTTCAGTTTCCGCAGATAAACAGAAAGCGGTCAAACAAACAAACAACTACAGCAGCAAAACTTTCCTCCATAAGAGCACCACARAAAGAAGCACCTTGGCCTTTAAGGAAATTCCAAGGTGAGCTACTGAAGTTTGCCCTTCATAGGCCAGCCAGCAAAGGAGTTGAAGTGTGATGTTTTTATCACTGCTTTCTTCTAACTCTACAGCTTCCCTCAAGCATTATAATTTCTCTCCTAATCTTGGCATTAACCKGAACTTGGTAATCAAGGAGCAGAAGGCAAACAAGCCCCGCATATTCACTCTCTTGTCCACTGCTTGTTCACACAACAGCCAGTACTTCTCTGCTGAGCTTTAGCTGAACAATTACCACAAATATTAGCAGTTACCAAACCAAGGAACTAACCATGGGACTTCTCTTGCCAGTGCAGGATTATAAAAAGAAGAGCAGCTCTGAGCTCTGCAGAGAGCTAACCAAGCCCAYGACCCCTCTGATCTGCTTCTGTCTCCTGCTGCCAATGGAGTTTACCCAAACCAAGGAGTGGTTTTGCTGCTGAAGTAATGATGCAGGTGCTGTTCTTAGCCTTGTTCACCTTAGCACCTCATCCCTTCAGAGCAGGGTCTGGACTCCTCTCCTATGCAGAGCCTAAGCATGGCACAAGGAGGCAAGAAGAACCAATGCTACATTTAGTTATAGTCAGGACAGACCTCCTGCCACGCTTCTCATATCCGCAGTAGCAGGGGCATGGAGAGGCAGCCCTTGTCTGGCCTTGGAACTTCTCCATCGGAGAGCGGACGGATGTGCGTGAGCAGCACCCTGCAATTGGGCCGGCGCCAGGCGCGGGCACAACACGCCTGTGGCAACCACCCAGCCGGTGCGCGTGGCCAGCGTGCAGCTGGAAAAGCTGGGCCAGGGCTGCCCAAAACCTGCCAAGCCCGAGCGAGGTTCTGMGGGCTTCCCTGCTCCGTAACCAAAAGTTATGGTCAGGAGCATCTCCTGTTGCATCCAGAGAGAAAAGGGGGATAGGGGTGGAGAACTCTGAGTCCCAAATGTTTGGAGAGCTTGGATCCAGCTTGGATCCCCAGAACAAGATTTGTCCTCAACCTCTGTCTAAAGAACTCTGTAAAATACATCCTCGAATAGCCAGTGCAAAGGATCAGCACTGACTGCACAGGTAAAGCCAGATGTTATCTGCACTGGCATGGTCTTAACACCGCGCTGSGATGGAGGCCCTGGTGTGTTCTGTTCTGGCYCCCTGCTGCCAGCACCTCGCTGCAGAGAATTCCCCTCTGCCTTGGGACAATTCCCTCCCCTGCAGACGCCAGGAGCACTGGTGTTTGGTGCTTCTCTAGCTCCATCTACAGCCACTTTCTCTCAAGGTTTTGGGAAGGTTTTGCTAACCAGGCTGATGCTTTGAATCATAGGTGACAAGGACATGTATTGCAACTTCACGGGTCATGACATGACTCAGCCAAGTCCTTGCTCTTACCCTAAAGAGTCCTATTCTGATATCAATGCAGGCACACACGGACCCTCTCTACTCTGTAGAAATCACACGGACCTCACCAATAAAAATGGCAACTGGAACATTAGCATCAGAGCTGCGTTAAAATGGACAATTACCAGTAGTTAATATTCTATTAGATGGCCAAATTAAAGCCTTGGGGAAGCTCCCCAGAACCATGTTAGTTTAGATGTGTCATTTCAAAGCCACATTAATGTCATAAAATCTTACAAAATACAAGATTTGAACTAGAAAATTGTGACATCAGCAAGACACTCCAGAGATAGGTGCTGAAATGKCCTAAGATAAACATGGTGCCCTGAGCAGTATATCATACCTTGGGATTATGAACTTAATTCCTCACAAAGACAGCACAACAGCTTGGGAAAGCTGGGCTGGGCTCCACGGCTGACTGATATTCCTGAGTATTAGGATAGGCAGGTTACACTGAAGCAAGCCACAAGAAATTGCAGGTAGCTGCTTGGCCATGATGCGATGTAGAGGACTCACCTGGAGGGAGTTCAGCACAATAAAGACATAGGCCCAGACGATGCTGAGGTGGACGAGGACTCCACACACCCAYGTCAGCCCCAGCACGGGCAGCAGCACCAACATGGGCTTGGCTGTGGCCCTGTCAAGAAAAGTGGCTCCGTTACCTGCATGCATTTCCAAGCCCGCAGAGTCTGCGCCAGTGCAGTACTGAGCGCCCCGCGGGCATCTGCCTCCCTGCCACCAGCTCTCCATGGGATCTCTGTGCTGCCCCAGGCCCTTGAGCTGGGATTGCCAGGCATCCTTCCTGGCTCTGCCAACACTGCCCAGGGTCTCGCTGCGAGCTGCTGGGGAACAGAGCAGGTCAGGGGATGTGCTGTGAAAAAGGCACCAAAGGCTTCACAGCCCTCTGGCCTGTATACTGCAGGTCAGAAGAAAACCTTCCTTGTCTCCATGCTAGAGACAGCTCTGCTCCTACACGTGTCTATCAGATGATTTGGCAGGCAAGAGGTACCCAAAGACAGTAGCTATGGAATGAATTTCTTTGTGAACAAAATCCTAGCTAAGCTAGAGAAAAAAAATAAAACAAACAGTATTTCCCAGCCCCCAGTGTGCAAGCCCAGCTCTTTATTTATCATTCAGTTAGCAAGAAGGGAGCTCTTTGACGTCATCAGCCATGAGAAAATAGCTAGTCTTCCCCAAATTGCCGCTATGAGGAGGGCTTCTGTATTTGTTTTATTAGCATGTGGATGTCACCCTGCCCTCCAGCACTGCCCTATCTTCATACTTCTGCAAATTAGGGAAAATATATTTATGAAACAGGGGAACAATGCGTGTCTAGCAGGGGTGCCCGGCGCCAGCTAACAACAATAAAAATTCACAGAGGATGATAAAATAATGATTCAAACAGCAGTTTTTTTAAAGGTCTCTCTATACTGACTGATTACACAAGTTCACATTGCCTTTCCTTCCCCATGTATATAACCCCTACCAGGGCTACTTTCAATCCATCAGGTCCCAGACATATATAAAATGGTTTTTATTATGGCAAATAGCTAAAAAGTCTTGTGCTCTGTATAACTGGCATCCTTCTGAGGGGCATACACAAGGACCAAGGGATGTGTGTGAAACGCATTCAGTCACAGCCCTTTCAAACTTCAAACTGGAAAGTTCTGCAGACAAGTGTAAGTGACCTACTTCCATGGCCCAACTCTGAATAAAAATCCACAGGAATTGGGTACYTGATATCCCTAATTCCTTGAAACAGGCTTAGCCGATCCCTGAGTTGCCTAGGCTTATGTTTGAYAGGATGTCTGTGTCTCAGACTGCTCACCATATCTGCACTCCAATCTGCTTYTCCAGGCTGCTACTGGGTGTCAGCATCTTCGATCTCCTGCGAGCACTGGACACAGTCACCATCACCACTCGGAAGAGCACAAAGGTATTTACCTGCCAGAAAAGAGCCGTTGGATCCCATAAACTTTTGTAAATCAACTCTGGTGAGTCTTCTCTGCTGYGCACTCAATAAGCTACCAATTTGTAATACAGAAAATGGGCAGAATTTGAGGAGATATTGTTTTCTCAGGATTGATATGTAAATAAAATACATACTCTGCAGAGTTACCCACACAAGTATCAAGTCTGTACAATTTATTCCAAAATCTCATCTACAGAACACCATCTTTAAGTAAACAAAGTCTGCTCTTTTTCCCTTAAATGTTTCACCTTTTTCAGCTACTTTGTTGATTCTRCTTAAAGGATATTGATGTTTCTATATTTAAATCAGATCTGTGACTGAGTCAATGTCACAGTCAACATGCACATTCATTTCCATTCCTAATTTAAAASCCATTACTGGTCAGAAAAATTTCTCAGAGCATTTTTCTACCAAAAGAAGGGCTGCTTTGGTTAAACAGATTTCTTGCATTGTGAAAGTACATATAACAAGAACTCTGTAAAAACAGCAGGGAAAGCAAACCATGAGAGCAAGCACCTCAGCTCCAAGGTGCCACCACTGCTGATCCTGTGACACTTCCCAAAACCAGACCCAGAGAAGTCCCGCACTTACTGCCAGGATGACGAGGACAGGCCCAACGAAGGCCCAGATGACATCAGCCTGAACGTTCAGCCAGCAGTGGTTGTCTGCCACATACTTGTTAAAGGAAGTTGCAAGGGTCACACCCACGATAACAATCGGGAGGCCTGCAGAAAACAAACACACCCAGAGCACCACCAGCTCCGCATTAAACCCCAGGAACAACAGGAGGGACCAGTGCAGGTCAGCTGGGCTCTAGGCAAGGGTTTCAAACCACCACAAGCACAGATGCAACAGTGTGAGCCATCATAGCTCCTTAAACCCCATGAGCAACATCTCATCTCATTTTACTGCAGGTGACATCCATCCCATCCCAATGCCAAGACCAGATTTACATGCTGTCAGCATCCTCCTCTTAAGTATACAGCACTTCAAATCCTGACCAAAATAACTTACTCCTCAGACTGCTTTTTTAAAGAAAACTTACACAGAACAATGGAAAATATTTATACTAGTGTCCAACTAGGTACATGTTTCACATGGAGCACTGACCTACGGATGTTCCTCCTTGATATAAAACTCAGCTTACACAAATGAGTTCCATGTCCCTGAAGGACTCATCCTGAATAAAGGGTATTATACAGGAAGATATTTATATTTAACCATGCCAGAAGTAGTAATGCTCTCCAAGAATAAGAGCTTGCCATAACCTTCTTCTCCTCATTCTTTGTGTTGAACAAAAATTGATTTTAGAAAAGTAACAAAATGTTTTTTTGAACTTGTATATGAAGACTGGCAATTTGACACAGAAGGGTAATAAAGCCTCTAAAGAACAGAGTCACCCAACTCAGACTGAATCAAAACAAGCATTTGCTTGACTCAACATCGGTACTGAGGAAATTTCTCCTAAGGAAACTTCTACTGGAGAAAAAAATGACTTCTTTTTTGAGTGCCCCATGCAGAAGAATCTGTAGGTACCCCAGCCTGTCACATAGTAGAACTTCATTCTCTTGTCTTCACTCATATTGACTGCCACCACTTTGCTCCAAAGGAGAAGCCCCTCTACCAGCATCCATGAAAAGGCTGCCATGAAGAAGAGATGGAGGAAGGCAGTGACAATGAAGCACACCACCTGGAAAGAAGGGAAAACACATGCTATTCCAGRAAGAAGAGTCCTCTGGGAACTTCTGGTCATATGTGATCAGGAAGGGGAGAGCAACCTGCAGACTATGGTGCAGAAAGTGCACAAATGTATTTAAATACTCAACAGTACTAAAGTTTCAGCAGAATTGGTCGTGCTGGGTAAAAGAGGATACTCTTTAGTGAGCTCACCTGGTTGGTCTTGGCCAATTCACTGAACATGAGCAGAGCTTCTGCTGCAGCTAATGCAAAGATCAGGTTCTTGTGCACAGTTGCTCGTTCGCTCTTGGGAACACTGAGGAAGGAGACAGGAAGGCCTCAGCTGCAGCCAAATGAAAGGGTGCTCATGTTCTTACTAGTCCTTGCTGTGCTGTTCAGATCTGCTTTGATGAACTCCCATCTTTCCACTACTCATTGCCAAGCTGACAGTCCAAAGAGGCAAGGGACTGTCCTGGGGTACAAGCACCTGCATAACCTTAGGTTTGAAACAGCTGACGTTTACAAATTGTACCTAATTTGCATGCTCAGCTTGAAGAAAAAATGACAAACAAAAAGAAACAGAAAAGGTTACAAAGCATACGGACTTTCCTTACCCAACCGCCAAGAATAAAATGAAGGTAACAATCAAGGCACAGAAAGAAATTCCACATCCAATAAAAGTCAATGTCTGTAACATGAGCTCTTCTTTGACTGTCCTCTGTCCAAAAATGAGACAACAAAAGACATAAAAGCCACACAAAATTAGCCGCACTGCTCAGTTTTTGCATCTGCCCCACAAAACTGCAGAAAAAGGCTGCTCACTTACCTGTACTTCATACACCTGCAGAAGCACTGCAAAGCTWGTGGTGTGGTTGCAAAAACAGGCTGTGGAATCTGGGAGAGATGTCACCACTGAGCAGCCAGCTGTGGACCACATCCCACCAGCATCTGGGCTAACATGCAGCAAGAAAAGAAAACATGGAAATTACCAYTTGTTTTAACAGAGAGCCAAAGCATTAAGGAACTTCCATTTTTCCATCAGAAGCAGATTTGAAGTGAGGATGAAGAGGATATCATAGCATTTTTATATGAACTTGGTCCTGCATCTCAGCAGATTCGCCTTATCATGCACGCACAAGAAAATAGGTCTACTGTCAATGTTAAAATGTTAGTATCAATTAAGCAAAACAAGGAAATCATSATTTAGCTATCACTGCTTTAAGTGGAACTCAGCAACTGGCTGGCTCTGGGTAGAGTTTCTTTTACAGCATGTTCACCGAGAACGTCGCTGAGGGGGATGGGGACAGACGAGGACAATCTGCACCGGCGCCTGCCCTGTACCCTGTGTGTTCACACTGCAGKTCAGGCTCTCACATGCATTCCCCAGACAAGCAGCTGCTCGTGGCTGCCCAGCAGCGAGCAAAGCTCCAAATGCAAACTCCCTATCAGAGACCTTTGCCACAACACCAGGCCTGCTCTGTCCTCCCTTGGCAGCTCTGCCTCTCAGCCAGCCTAGGACCTAGGGAAGACCAAACCTGAGTCAAGCTTAATGGAACTTGTGCAGCAACCAGCTGCCTTGAAAAACATCCTCCTCTCACCTTTCCCAAACTGATCCATGTCTGTTGAAAGACTATGAGCTTAGTGCACTCAATGACTTAATTACAAATTCATAAAATATCACCAATTCATAACATTCCCCTGAGTGACATTCTGCAAAAACACATCTCAGTGTCAAGCAGTGATTATGAGGTACTGGAGTCCTGCATGTCTTTACGCTATAACTCTTGGTCCTTCTTTGTTGCAGACAACAATCGTAATCCAAGGTATTCCATTTAATTTTTACATACTTCATTAAGGTCACACACTTGTGAATGACTTCTACAAAGGAAATCTTCCCAGGAGAGCTCTACTTCAGCAGAGGATGTCAGAATGCAAAGCATGACAGAATCACAGATCACTACTCTTACTGTTTTCTTTATATTGTCATTTTTGTTTTTGAAGAAGAAATTACAGCTCACAAATCTGGGGACTTAAACTGAGACCAGGCACCTGAGGCTGAAGTTCCAGAAGGCACAGAYGGGCCCCACCAGCTTATCAGGCAGGTCCTGCAGGCAGAGATGGAAAAGAGGAGATGACACAGTTGCACACATAGTTTATACAGACAGACTTTAAGCAGCCCGCTCGCTGGCTGCAGTGTCACGGTGTGGCCCACCAGTGCTGGGCAAATACCCGCCAGGCCTGGGACACCTGTAAYTCCAAGAGATCTGGGGGACTCGAGCAGAGGTTCGGCGCAGCCTCCTGGGACAGGCTGTGTGACACCTGCGTGCTCCTGGTCAGAGGGCACCCCAGAAGCGCAGACAACTCCCTTGCTGGAGTACCTTGGTGTGGTGCTGCAGGCGGTAGCGCACAGACGTGCCCATCTCCTGGTAGTCGCTGAGCAGGGCGGATGAGATGACAGCAGTTCCCACCATGGTGCTCAGGTACCTGTAAGGACAGGTATGCTGCTCACTGACAGAAGGACAAGACGAGTTTGAAGAGGGTAATATTGACAATAAAATAGGGGAAAGGCCTCAAAGCTGAACAAAACAGGACTTTGCCCATAGCAGCTGATGCCAAGCTCTCCGAGCCAAGCGGACGCTTCACCATAGGGCTTACCCTCATACAGTTACACCACAGTGTAACTAATTTCATGACAGACTCGTAGGGTTTTCTCATCTCCTCCCTGTTCTGTTAAAGATCACTGTATAGCTCACTGACAGACAGATAGCATGAGATATGTGCCTAGAGAACAGGACCTCACTTTATGCAGACCAGTGAAGAGGTCCAGAGGCACCTCCTGGGTGCTTCAGTACCTCCAGCAAAGGGTCTGGGCACAGGGCAAAAAATACTTCAGATTACCTAGCAGGTAGAAAACACAAACGCTTCCCTCCACAACTACACTAGGTGATTGTGCAGATGAGGCCCTAGGGCATCCGAAGTGGTGGGTAACTGAGCAGCACATTGGCTGAGCCAAAGGTCTGCGCGGAGGATGGTTTTGCATCCCACATGCACGGGCTGCCATCCCCACCTAGTGTTCGGAGGGCTCCCTGGAGGAAAGCAGGGCTCTGCACTGGCTGCTCCTTTTCAGCAGCTGCATTTCCACTTTTTTGGCACCCCAGCTCTAACTGCCTCTACTTGTACCCTAGTTAGAAGAGCATGCAGCACCCCTCTCAGCCTTTAAATCACCCCCACGAGAGCAGATTAGCCTCAGGGTTATCAAAGCCATGTGAGAAGAGATACACTACACAGGCAGCTGCACAGCTCAGGCCAACATGACTCCTGAGTCCCTTGCAGTTACCCTGTCACCAAATGCATCCTGGAGAAAGTGGGGGGACAAGGGCAAATGGGACAGGCTGGGGAAGGACAGAGCGACTTTGAAATGAATTCTCTTGTGCTACTGACACAGTGGCTAGCCCTGGCTTAGAGAAGGGGATTCTTGAGTGTTCTGACAAATCCACTCACTTCTGTCCTCCATCCGAGGCAGCCACCTCCTGGACGTCGGCATTGCTGCCAGTGGCAGCCAGGCAGCGCTGGAGGGAGCCATAGCCAAACCACATGTTTTTCACAATGACTCTGCTGAGACCTGGACAGAGAGAGCATGGTGGGAGGGCTGCCAGTGCGCAGGGTAGGACACRCATACCTGGGCAGCTCATTCCTCTGCTGTGCTCCCAGAATCCAGGACAAGAGGGAGAGGGAGCAGATGAGATGGCCTGGCAAACAGGGAGCTTGTCCCTGCTCACAAGGGCCAGGCAGCTTCACAGCATCCTCACATGCAGTGGACAGTCCCCAGCAGAGTCTGGTACAGTGCTAGGAATGAAGCCCAGCTCCCTTGTCCAGGGACCTGGTTGAGGGCAAGGGCAGGTACGTTTCCCTTTACCAAAAGGCACCATCTCCCCACACTCCTACACATTGCTTGCAGGCGTAGTCTTTCTGCTGTTACAAAGATGATGCAGAAAAGGCACCCTGTTCAAAATGCCATATGGAAACACCCCAGGGACATCATCACCCTACCTTTAGCTTTCAGTCTTTGCATTTCTTCTGTGGGAACCTCAATAAGGTCGTGTCCAGCTCTCCCGGGGCTCTGGATCAGGTACACCTCACTGCTTGGCTCCTGCTTGCTCAGCTCCAGCCTTCTCACCTCCATCCCTGTGGAGGATGCAAGCACAGTTCAGCCTTTCCCCAGAGATAGTYACAGCAAAATACTACAAGGACCTTCAGTCCAGTGGGTGCCCCCAGTCGAGGCTCAGTGCAGMAGCAGACCTCTCTGAGTTCAAACCATGTGTGTTTGGGTTCAGCTTGTCTCTTGGGACTAGAGACCACCCTTTTTACCCACTTGTTTTATAATAGAGCAGCCTGACTCCTGTTCTTACAGATAAAAGACTGCAGAAGGGGATTGAGTAATGTAATAGATCTTTCCAATACAGAGGAAAAGGACGCCAGGCAGGCATGTAAGAGATGTATGAGCTGGGACCTGTCCAGTCCTGGGTCACTGTCAGCATTGGCTACAGCCCACCATGCAGAGCACCCAGACACCCTCGGGATCACAGGAGAAAACCTGAGGTGAAAATTGGGGTTGCAGAGGTGCCCCCAATACTCAATATTTATGCACGAAGGAAATAGGGAAACAAGGAAAGGCCAAAGGTTGAGCCAGAGAGGAGCCAGAGAAGGAGATGAGCTGAAGTTGATTAGACAGCAGCTCGGGTGACTACACGGGGTCTCTGGGAGATGTCCTGATTCAGCTCTGCTGCTCACCAGTGCTCAGCCTGGAAAACCACCAGCCTGGAAGTGCAGCCCAGCACTCCACGATCCATAACACGGTCACAGCAGCTTCGCTGTGCAGGAGGAACAGTCCCAGCTCCCAGGCAGCCCCTTGCTGACTCCTGATGGCTGGTGGCCTCATGCTGGACTAACGTTCCCGCAGCCTCTGCTTCCCTGCCAGGCCGTGTGTCTGGAAGCTGCGTCCGGTGGGAGATGCAGGCTGCACAGCCCAGCACGGTGAGCGCCCACAAGCCCAGGGTGCCAGGCTCTCCCACCCTGCTTGTTCACACTCACCCATGTTGCCATGCTGGACCGTGATCTTCGTCCTCCCTGCAGTCAGCAGCAGGGCTAAGTTTGATACCACCCTGTCGGAGATCTCCACAACAGCCATAGGCCCTCTGATAATCTGGAAATGTGCAACAAACAATGAAAATCAGCACCTTCACTGCCAGCCCACACTTCTCACAACACACAGTAGGTTTCTTAAAGACTTGGTCCTTGGCAGAAAGAGAAGAGGTRGGGCTTTTATTTTTGGTTTTTGCTCCACTTCATAAAGAAAAAAGAGTATTTCCAGATCCTGCAGCACTAGAAAAGACATTGAAAAATGAGAGAAATGTGCTGGGCTTCAAAAAAAAMCAAACACTGAAAAAAGCATGCAAACAAACAAATAAATAAATCATGATTATCTAGATCTGACTCTTCATTTTTGCCAAATTGCAGAGAAAACATCATTTCTTCCTGGAAGAGCTTTCACCCTGATACAGACTCCACTGTTCAGAGTGTAATAGGTGACTATCCTGATTACTCAATGTCCTAAACATGCCATCATCAAAACGTGCCTCAAACCATCCTTCTTCACCAGCAGGTATATCTCTTCCACCAGCTAAACTAAACCAGAACGTGTATTATGCCACAATGAAGAAGCTATGAGTAATCATGGCAACAGAGACCTACTCTAAGCCGTGAGGTAAGCTCTGAACTATTCAGCATCCTTTCTTCTCTGGAGGTCCCTGGCCTGGCCAGCACTCCAGGAACGGAGCCAAGCGCTGTCACACGTTCCCCAAAGACAGGTGCAGGTCACACAACAGACATAAAAGATCTGTGTGAGAAGGGAAGATTAAGCCAGTGGGGAAAATCCTAACAGGAGGTGAAATGAAATACCTCACACAGAGCTTGACACTGTTTTGAACAGTTTGGGAGCTGATGATAGACAACTCCTTGGCAGTCCACCCACTGCAAATGCAGCAACTTCATAACTGCAGGGCACTGCCCTGCCAAGAATGGTAGGATGTGAGAGCAGGAAATGGGCAAAGTGTGTGTAATCCTGTAAATCCAGGCTGACAAAGTGGGGAAACTTAAGGAAAACTGAGGCAACCACAGGAGGGGTTTGCAAGGAACTGTCTGTGTGTGTTTGCAGAAGAACCTCCAACAAATGAGGCAACACCACGGTTGCTGCCTCTTCCCTGAACGGGCAAAGCAGAGCTGTGCCCATGCTTGTTGCATTTCACAGGCTCCAGAAAACAGCCACAAAGACTGTGTTGGACCGAGGACAGGTCCTGCAGCTGTGGTCACACAGCAGGCCAAGGAGCTGCATGCACAACAGGATGGGGCACACAGCTTTCCAGACTGCTGGCATCATGCATTACCTGGCTCACCGATAACCACGTTTCAAAGTTGTGCTCTTCCAGGATTAACCCAGTTACTTCCACGTAATACTGGCTCAACTGCTCCAACATCTCTGGCTCTTCTCCATCCTGGACTTCCACATCAGAAACTTGCTTTAGTAACTGAAGCACTCCAAGAAGGTCAGACGACTCCATGGGTGTCTCTCCTTCCCTCAAGACAGATGCCAGGACATCAAGAGAGCCAATAGCAATGGAGAGGTTCATGTCCTGGACATCACCTGTGAATATGTTCTCACGAATCTGTTGAGAGAAAAGTAGTTGATTGCAGAGCCCTGATTCTGCCAGTTGAATTTTAGTTGATTGCAGAGCCCTGATTCTGCCTGATTGTCAGTTACGCAGCACACTAGAGACTGCAGGTAACACACTGCATGCTGCCTTCTATTCTTCTGCCTGTGTTTTAGAGAAAGAAGGTCTATCTCAACATTTTTAATTCTCTTGTCCAGCCCCTCAGCCCTTGGCACCAAGATCCAGCCTGACATCACACTGTGCTTCCTTCATCACACCACCGMGGATGTGCTTGAGCAACCCCAGGCCTCGACAAGAGGCTGTGCCAAAGCCAGTCACACACAGATATCAGAAGCCAGACCCACAGGAGAGGCTGCATCGCTGGTTCTGACAGCAGAGGCCCATGCTGTAACTTCTGGCCAGGTGACCTTGCTGAGCAGGAGCTGGGTGCCTGCAAGCGCAGCCCAACCCGCACGCAGAGCACAGCCAGCCCGGCTGCGCCTRCAGGACTCACCACGCTCCTAGCTGCAAGCGCGTTCACACGGGCAGCAAGCGAATGGCTGGACTCCAGCTGCACCTTCTTCAGCTGCAGATACGCGCCTGCGAGCAAAACCAAAGTGTTAGCAGTGCCGCGGTGTCTAGCAGCCTGGTTAACATAAACTGCATTTAAAGACTGGGGAATGCTCCTCACACACTGAGTAAGTTAGGAGGGCAGTCAGGACAAGATTTCATAGGCAGTTTATTTCCAGTGCAAGAGCTATCTGGAGAAACAGCCTAACCTTTCATTTCTGTCTCCTTTCCATGTCCTCTGCCCAGTAAGTCTGAAAATGTTTGGATTTGGTGACACCCTGCAGCACTGCACCCAAGGGCCTTGTGACATGTGCAAGTACTACATATCCAAGAGAAACAAAACAACCCAACGGAGAGCATATAAGTGAAGTCAAGTCACTGCTACAGCACCATTTACATGYAAGCCCCCCAGAGCAGACAGCAGACCTCCCTGGTGTTGGCCCTCATCCTAGCTAGGACCGCCAGGAGTGAGTGCCATGGAAGTAATGAAYAAATAAATAACAGATGCTGTACCCTTTCTGTAGCAACAGATAAAAGGCAAGGACTGCAAACAAGACACGTAACTGAATCCACTGCTGCCAACTTCAAAAACTCGGCATTCCTCAACAGGCCCTGTGGAAACACACACAAAGAGAAGGCCCACAATTCCCCCGGGACTTGCCATCCCCAAGCAGGTATCCTGTTTCCTGCAAGTGATTCACAAACTCTGTTGAAAACAAAAGCTGCAAATTGCTCCTGAGGCAGCCCCATGGCCCAGTCAGAGCGGAGCACGGAGAGGTCAGAAACTGCTTCCGACAGTTCTGGTAAATACTCTCCAGAAAGAGCTCCGTGGAGGTGACAAGGCCAGGTCTCAGGTTCATGTTTTGATCCATAACTATCAAGGTGATCTAACTAGACAGCATCCTTTCTCTTGGTAGAATGCCAAAGCACTAGGTGAGCAGTATCAAAAATCAGCATCACTGGTAAGTAAAACCCTTCTCCAGGTAGAAGGGTGTAATTGGCCATGAGTATCTTTTGCAGGGTTATTTTGCACCAGGAAAATGCACCAGGCACTAGACAAAGGTCAGGGCAGGGGTCTCCATGGTCCAGTGTTTTAGTCCTATGAATTTCAGCATGATTGGGAAATTGCCCAGCTTTCTATCTGCTTGTGATTTCCTTCCCAAAAGTGATGAGTTGTTCCCTAAACCGCAGGAACTCCCACCCCTAAGGACTTTTTCCCAGATCATCCCTATGCAGAGGGATACACTGCCTTCCACTAATCTTCCAGCGAGGAAGGCAGCTGGAGAAGCACAGACAGGACTCACCTGGGCAAAGAAACTGTACAGTCACCTGTTGAACGGTGCTTTCAACCTCCAAAGCATTTGAACTCCATCCAAATACAAGTTCTTGTTCTACCACATGGCACGAGCGAACTTCCTCAATCTGCTCCACACTGAGGACTTTCTGCCAGATGTGCAGGTCAGTGATGTTCCCACTGAAGGACTCCTTCTCCCTGAAGGTGCCCCCCAGGGAATCTTGATCCTGCCCTATTATGAAAGTCCCCTGGCCATAGATGGCCTGGGGGGCAGACAGCCCCGCAGCACACAAACCACTGGCAGATGCCCTCCTTTTTCCATCGGCATAAATGGCCCAGGTCCCATTTTSCTGTTGCCAGGTCACACAGAAATGATGCCAGTGCCCGTCAGCACGGAACGCGGGTAGATACGGGGAATGGTGCCCGTGGACAATGAGAGCAAATCGAACGTAGCCTTCCTCATCGACAAAGCCACGGAGCTGGAGCTCATTAATAAAAGCCGGCACAGCATATGAGAATACGGTGGCAATCTCCTGGGTCGTGGTGTCCCACTGGAGGTGGGCACAGGCCGTGACAGCAGGCAGTGCTGGGAAGGCAGAAAGCACCTTCACGTATTTAGTGTCTGTTTTTTCTCCAAACACCAGGACTGGCACAATGTGGTTCTCTAGAAGGAGGACAAGAAAATTTCAGCGAGCATGGAGGAAGATGCACAGCCCAAAGCCTGCTCACCTTCCACTGGGATGTAATTCTTTTTTTTTCATTTGCCCCTTCCCTGGCTAAGAACCCATGGCCCCATCAGGCAAGGACACCCCTCATGCATGCAGCAGCTCTTCAGGTTCCCCCAGGACTGCAGGGGATGCGAAAGGTGGGCAAGTTGGCACTACATCTTTCCAGCAAGTGTAACTTCCAGAAAGTTACGTTTCTAGGAAATAGGATGACAAACAAGGAATCTGGAAGGAACAGCACATTCCCAAGAGTCCTGTCCTACGGGTACCAACTGCAGGGTCAAATAAGACTTCCGAGGCATCTGCCATGCAGCACCTTGCTGCTGGAGAAGGCCCATTCTCCTGGTCTTGCCTCTGATATCACTGCTCTGCAGAACTTGCAGGTCACAAATGGCAAGGGCTGAGCAAAGCCAGATGTGCTTTACAGGGAGATGGAGCAGGAGGGCAGAGCAGAGGAGATCCCTTTACAACCTCCTTTCATGCATTAAAAGAAGTCTTGACAGTGACCAGGCAGCTGGTGTGCTGGGATCACCACCCATCATGCTGCCAATCCCACATTGTGACTAGGAGGTCCCGGGTGATACTGTAGTGGCAATAAAAGAGCWGGCACATTTCTAGCCAGGATAGTTTTCTGGGACAACAAAGACCCAGCCGTGTACATGCAACAGTCCARTCCCACTCATACTCACGTCTCCGTTTCGGCTTGGGCAGGGCGCCGTTCACGTCACGTAACCAGACAGAGCCCTTGACGTGCTGGGACTGCAGCAGTTTGCTGATGGAAGCCCGCTCACCGTCTCCGGGTTCAGAAAGCAGCCGGGCAAAACGCTGCTCGCAGTGTCTGTCTGCGTGCCACCAGTCCAAGGGGGTGGCCACATATTCGTACATGTGTCTCAAGGTCTCAACAGTGAGAGGAGCAAAATCTGAGGGCAGACACACAAAAGGTAGCACAGGCGCTGCAGGAAGCAACACTCAACCTGCATGTTGCTGTGTTTCTCTCTCTCCGTTTTTTTTCCCCTCTCCTCCCACATTTCCCAGCTCCTGGGAAATCAGTTTTTCTCCACTTGCAGGTGCAATCTGCAAGCACAGAATTTTCTCTCTCTCTTTTTTTTCCCAGTTACAGTGGTGCAGCTAGCAACTGCATGGTACGTACCTGATTTTCAGGCACTAATCTCACAGTTAGCAAAGCAAATACTTAGCTATAGAAGCATAATTTCAGACACAGAAATAGAGGATCAGAAAAAAAAAATCTCTATTTTTATTTCTGCATGTTTCTGAAGTGACATGCCCTTTTAAGCATTGTTTTTCTGTGCTTATAAAAAGCATACAGAAGTGCTGATAAAGACACTAACCAGTAAAAGTCTGATTCTCAGCAATGGCCGCAAAGGCTAAGAGACTCCTGGACAGGCTCCCAACCTGTAAGAAAGGATATTGTAATAAGGTCAGAATAAAAGGTTTATATTATCTGAACTATTCCAATTATTAAAATCTCTATAAAACTCACCAGAAAGCTGAAAAACCAAGAGTCAGGCCTCAAGTCTCTCCTAAACATGCTGACCAAGTGGAAAGCTTTCACTCCTTGCTAGAACAAAGGAAAAGTTACTGGAAATGTGCTGCAGAGAGGGAAGTGCTCTGCAGAAAGCTAGTTCTCAGAAGAAGGCTTCTTTGCTCATTAAGTATCAAAAACGACAAAACTACTCTCAAATACCCACATTACGTAGCAAACTACCAAAATAATTCTTCCTCTTCTAACATTCTTTTTAAGAGACTAAGGGTTCTATTTTAACATTTGTTTCTAGCATACAGGGTAATTTATCATATATACAGTATTAATGCACAAACAGGCCAAGTTAGTGGAGCCTCTCTATYTGTATCAACTAGTTAAACCCAGTGGAATTAAAGTCATTATAAGTTACATTATAAAGCATCACCAAATTACAGAAAGTTTCCTAGTTTCTTCTAAAGTCCACAGGATTTTAGCACCAGTACAGATCCYGCAAATGGGTAAATGTGGCCTCCAGCCATGATCAGAGCCTTATAATTCAAGCCATTAGTTTTCGAGCTGGCAAACATCACGGCCCTGCTCGTCAGCACCCCAACACCAGCTCTACAGCAGCAACAGCACCCAGCTGAGGCAATCCTGCCCGTAGGGCACTCTAAGATTTATTCAGGTAACTGCACTGGTATTATAAAAATCACAGATTGGACACGTAAAAATACAAACATGGAAAGTGCCTCTGCAGCTTCCAATACAAACAACTCCTAGTGCTGTCTTTCAGCACCGACCCTGCTAGGCTTGAGTAATCCCTCTGGCACCAATGGGACTCTCCTGTGCACGCAGTAAATGCCCATTACTTAAGTACTGTGCTGCTAAGGGTCTAAGGAAGCCAAAGCTGAAGCCTTGACTCAAAATATTTTCACAAACGACCTTTCAGAGCTCGGTGGACAGCTGTCAAACAGGCAGCAATCTCYGAGCTGCTCAGGAAGACGTTTGCCTGACTCGGTGTTTGTCTGACGCGCGAGCAAAGGCAGGTGAGAGCAGGGAAGTTACCTGGGGAGGCTGGAGCGGCTGCGCAGCCCGCGCCCGCCACACGCCCCTCTGCCCGTGCTAGCAGTGCCAGCTCAGCACCTCTGCACGGCCGTCCCCGACGGTGCCTTCCCCCGAGGAAACCTGGAACATCATCCTGGCAGGAGAGAAGGGAGTGAGGGAGACGCTAGAGATCTTGCTAGCAGCAAGAGTGCGGTATCCGTGTCCAGGGAGCCCAGGGAAGGAGGTCAGCTCGAACAGAGCCCTCCAGCAGGACAAAGGAAAAAAAGATGCACTGACAGGATGAAGAGGGTCAGGGAACCCCAGATCTTGTGTTAGGCACCAAGGGGCCGTGTGGGGCTCTGTGCTGCAGGCTGCACCCCCGGGCGCCCCGCAAGCTCCCATTGCCCCCGTCTCCTCGCAGCTCCGCACGGGCAGCCCCAGCACCCTGCACATCCCACCCTGCACCTCCCATCCCCTCCTGGCATCCCTGCCCCTGCAGCCCGCACCCCCTATTCCTGCACCCTGCACCTCCTATTCCTCACACTCCCCACCCCGYATCCCTCACCCTGCATCCCCCGTCCCTGCCACCCTCATTCCACCTTGCCCATCCTGCATTCCCTGTTCCCACATCCCCATCCTGCCGGGCAGGTCCTGTGAGCTGTAAGCTCCATTACAAGGAACAGACACAATCCCTGAGGATTTCTCCATTCCTCCCCACCAGATTCCTTCATCTCTTTCTCCCAAAGAGCCACAGACACTCCTCCAGCACATCCCACTCCCACTGCTCTGGGCTGCAGCTCCAGCCCCGGAGCCACAGAACAACACCCGCCATCGCCCCAGCCTGCGAGAGCAGCGTGCTGGGTCTCCTTGCAGGCACTCACTGCTCCGTGCAGGTCCCTGCTGGTCTCCTTGCAGGCACTCACTGCTCTGTGGAGGTCCTCAATGACGCTACTAACATGAATGTACTCGGGAGTCCAGGTGAGGATGCCCAGGTCTACAGGAGCTGTCTCCGAGGACAAGCAGAAGAGCTGCCCTGATATGATGAGCAGGGAGCCAGCCAGGCCGGAGCTCCCCAGGACACTGGCTCCATCGTGGCGCTTTCCTCGGGAGCGGAGCGGCAGCTTTAGTGCTCCGGCATTGCCTCGAGCAGACGCCCCAGTGGTGCCGGGGCAGTCAGGAGGCTGGAACTGCAGGCTACAGGGCCCAGGCCACCTCCACAGGGCCACTGCTCTGGGCTGCGAAGGGCAGAGCTGCCCTTTGATTAACGCCCATTCGCTCTGGCTACAGCAACAGGCCCACAGTTCTCACTCCTCCCCTGCAAGCGAATGCTTGAGTCACACCAAGGACTCACAGGCAACTGCCTTTTGTTCGTCAGGGTCTCCGTCCGGGAATGAAGGCAATTATCACATCCCAGCACCTCTGCTTGTCGCAATAAATCTCTGGCAGAAGAATGGACCCTTTGAGGCTGCTGCTCTGCTCTGCTTAGTCACCGCTGCCAGTTGGGAAGGGCCTGGCGCGCGGTCGGTGGACACTGGGCACTGGGGCTGGCACTGGCGCTGCTGCCCGGGGCCCCTGCATCCTGCCTCCCTCCAAGACAGACTTTAAACCAAAGAGCCTCAGATGAAAAGTGGTTTTCAAATTTACAGCTAGACTTAGGTTTCAGATGGAGCTTGAATTAACATTCTGCATTGGAAAGACCTAGAGCTTCCCATCACACAGGAAACTATTCTTTAGTCCCTTGGTTCAGACTGAATTACCCACGTTTTCCTAGCAGCAATAAAAGTATTCTTCTGGTAACAACCAAAAACGTCTGGCTTGGCATTTCTGGTTGCTACCAGAAAAGTAAATTTAGTGCTGCTAAAGACATGGCATCCAGGCCAGAGTCTCCATTACCCCTCTTTGCTACAGACATATAAATTATCCTTTGTGCACACCCAGGGGATAAAGAAGAGCTTCTTGTGCTAAATTAATGTTGCCCGAGTTTCTAACCTTGCCTAGGCAAGCACTTTAGATTTAAATTTGAAGTGATTTCCATAATCACACTCTGGACTTCAGTAAGGCTTCAAACATGCTCTGGCTGGCATCAAGGAAGGCTCTGGCAACAGGGCCAGAAAGGTTCCCCTTTCCTCTCAGAGGGAAGTGTGCAGATTCCCCAGCTRTGCAAGCAAGTCCGGAAAGCAGGGCCAACATCTGGCCTGCTTGAAGCTTCCCTGAGATTTCTGGGCTCCCTGGAGGATTTCCTGCAGTCACAGGAACGTGTAGGCGCTGAGATCTGATTGCTCCTCACTACGAGGGCAGAGTCAGTGGCCTCATGTCAAAGAACTCACCATCGCATCCACACAGGTCCACACAGAGCAAATATTCAAGCCAGCGAGCTGTCTTCCTAAGGCAGTGACTGCTCCTTCATTCCAGCCTTCATTCCATCCATCTCTAAATAAATTAGAAAGAACAGAGTTCTTAAAGTTGAGAGATGTCCATCCAGTGCAAGGAGACCTTGGCAAGAAGAAAGATGACATTGGGAGTGTAAGGTGGTGAGGTCCCAAAGTACTTTCAATGCCTGTAAATCTCTCTAACAAGCAGCTGAGCAAAGGGCAAATCATGCTGTGCAGTTTGGGTGATGCTGTCACTCCAGGTTAGCTTATTTTTAAATTGGTTGCAATTCCGTTTACATGTAGTCAATTTAAAAAATTAGATGTATTTTAGGAAGCCCTATCCTCACCAGCTAGTAAACTCTCATCCGCCACCCTCAAGGCACATCTTTCACATAACCCTTGGAAGAGCTTCCCAGAAAATGGGCTAGCAACACATTAATGTTTATAAATCAAAAATTTACCAAGTGAGGTAGAAAGCCATGTGTCTAAATAAGATTTATTGAAAAATGGAACAAAGTGATGTGTGTGTCAAAGATCACTAGGTCATGTTGCAAGCCTGTGCTTTGCAGAGTTATCCTCTTAAACAACATTTCCCTAGTCCAGCTGTAGCTGTTATCATACTCCATTCAAAGATTCCTTGGTAGCCTTAATTTTGTGCATATGGATGCTTCTCTTTGCTTCTGCAAGGGATACATCTGTCAGTGTCTGGAAGGAACTGAAAACACACAGCTCTCCAACTTAAAAAGCCATCCTAACTGCCTATTTATTATTTCAGAAAGAAGTGTCTAGGGTGATTTTTCCTCTCTTGATTAATGCTGAATACTTGAAAAGCTGCAGTTGTGTTGCCTATAAGTCAAGAGGTAAAAATCTGAACCTTCAGCTTACTCTATTTCAGGCACTTTGCGGACAACAAAGAGAGCCCAGATGTCTTTCACATGCCAAAATTAAAACTMCCAGCTGCTTCTATGGCCAAAACTTTTCGGCTTTCCAGTCACACTAACAAAGTCTTCCTATCAAATGCCATCCACCCCAGCACAAGGGCAGCCCACAGCTTCCACAAATTAAGACCTGTGGCAGATTTAAGACTGAGGATGCACCACATACCATCGTTGAAGGAAGAGGAGTAACAAGTTTCTGAATGTGTTCTCACACTCAGTGAGAACTCACAACCCTACTTTGGTACCCTCCAGCACCCTCCAGAGGTTGCAGGGCATAAGCAGGAACAGGGGAGCTTGCTATTGCATTAGCCCTGGCCAGCCCACAAGGACTGGCTTCTACTCCTGCAAGTCCTTCAGCTCTCCCAAAAGAAGATTCATCAGTATTCACAAAGCAGTTAGCAAATATTTGGACATCTGTGTTGCAGTGATCCATTCATGATACAACTTCCCCCTTTCCAGCTTACAGGAAGACATCGTGATAGCCCATGCCTACCCCTCGGAGCAAAGTGTTGACACGTGTTATCACCCTCAGACAGGTCACACTGCAGAGGCAGCAGTGTCTGCACAAAGGCAGACAGTTCTTCCCCCACTTCAGGATAGAGGTGCTCTGTTACCTCCTAACTCCCACGCACACGTTACTGAGAAGAGCGGCCCATGGCCAGGCAGCAGCCATGAACTGGCCAAGCTGCACTCACCAYGTGAGCAATTTGTCCTTTGCACCCTGGATCACAGATGCAATTTCACATCCTCAGCGCTGCAGGAGTGACATGAGGTCACATGTTCAAGCTAATGCACCAGGTTTCCAAACAAGCCTTCTTATTCTGCATACTAACGACCTGGGCTAATTTGCATTTATGGCCAGAGCCCCATGYTTGGCAATGTTTTAGATTAGATTTTTTGTCTAGTTCTCTCCAATTCCTCTTCGCTGTTTCAACTCTGTCACTTCAGACTTGGCCACACGGCCTGATGTTACAAGCTTCACATCAAGAGTCTTGCATGTCAGAGACGTGACCCCGGATGCCGAGGGGAGAGGGCTCAAGTTCACAGGCAGGAGAGCACCGCCTCCCCAAGGGCACAGAGCGATCCAAGTGTGTACACGGGTCTCAAGGGTCTCTCCATGCCAGCTCATATCYCTAGACAGCAAAACTGACAGCTCAGCCTGCAGTCCCTTCCTCCTGCAAACTCTCTCCCAGCAGCCTGGGCTGCCTCAGCACACAAGTCACACGTGAGCCGCTTGCAAACACAAAGCTGTTCAGGAGCTAAGGGATCATTACTGCTGAGAATAGTTAGAGATTATCACCAAACACCTGCAGGAAACTAGTTTGTGGCATAGGCACTTGTAAATAATATGCCTGGGAAGATGGAACTGATGGTGAAAAGAGGAGATTTTCCTAATTTACGTCCATGGCCTTCCTGATGCTGAGAAGTGGAAGAATTCTTCTGCTACCAGAAGAGAGTTTGGGAGCTGCTGACCGATTTAGTTGATTCTAATGAAGCTCTTTATAAAGCTTCCCTTCTAGGTTCAGCACTGCTCACAAGCGGCAGCTGAGACTACTCCTGTSGCTGCCTGGCTTTAGCAGCCTGAGTAGTTTGGGAGATTGAAGAAATCAGAGTGCCAAGTACGGAGTATAGCCCAGAGTTAGAAGTAGCTGGGTAAACATCTATTCCTCAGGCCTTCTGCAGATGCTGCCATTCAGTCCCAGTTAAGCAGCACAGAACCTTCAAAGCAGCTTCTTTGTGCAGAACCCCTCTCCGTTTAGTTCCTCTGACGCCCTACTGATAACTACAAGACATCTCAGTGTATAAGAAAGCCTTTCCTCTGTACTCACAGGCTCATATTTCTGAGACCAATGACCATATCCTATTCCAGCACTATTTTGCTGTGGAGTCTTGTTTGCAGAGTTAGCTTTAACCGGAGTTTTATTTTGTTGTTTTGTTTTTTTTCAGATGCCCAACAGTCTCAGCAAGGTTTGTTTCAACAACCTCTTGTGGACCTGCCATGCTTAATCTCACTCTTCCAGGCCCTTCTCATTGTCTGGGATGAAAGCACAACACAGAGGCTCCCCTGCTAATTGCCAGCTTTATGTTTTCCAGTGACAGGTGTATTGTCTGCAGGAACAGACTCAATTGTCTCTCTGCGCAGTAGGGTATCAGCTGCTGATATTAGAAAGCCTTTCAGAGCAGCTTGGGCAAGGCTTGCTATTTAGTGCCATCATTTGTAATAAATCAGAGTAACCTAGAAACTTTTAATAGAAAAAAAATGATATGCTTCTCTTTGAAACACCAAATTTCTCCAAAGCCTTTTTTTTTTTTCACCACAGTTTTCTAATAAAGGGATTTTGCTGGTTTAAGTGGTCACTCACTCTGGATCTACTTTAACCTGCAATCACAACTAGCAAAAACTTGATAAGTATTGTTCCTGCAGCACCTGAAGCTATGGGAATAGTGAACGTGCATGAGCTCACATCCACATTATCAGTCCCTTGGGTCACATCCTGCAGGGATCAGCATATCCCGAGCAACAGGCCTGAAGCAGGGGAGCTTCCTCCCAGGGAGCAGTGACTCTCCATCTACTTCATCAGGTAAAAAGGGAGCTCTGGTGCTCATACAGAATGATGAAAGGCAGCAGCAAAAAGCTCCTGAGAGATAGGACAAATAAGAGCTAAAACAATATTAGACCCAGACTGCATCTGTCTTTCTTGTTTTTCCACATGAAAGGGTGAAGTTTTCCATCCGCGGCTGTTGCGCATCGCCAGAACKCTAGCTAGTATTCCAGTAACATGCAACCAGAAATGCACCAAGCCCTCGAGCAGCTTCCCAAGCTGCTGCTGCGGGAAGCTAGCACTAGAGAAACCATCTCTGCTGGACTTCATTCACAAGAGAAAATCACAAGAGAAAAGGGACTTTCTCCAAAGCACTGGGCATCAGCAGTTCTGCATCCATTACAGGAATACACGTGCTGAGAAATGCCGTTTTGTGTCTGGCTGAGCCTTGGGCTGCCTTGCAATGCTGGAACAGTGTCTCAGTCAGACGGCACAGGCAGCTCCAAGGAAGTCTTCCCTTATCTCTCCTCTCTCCTATTTGCTCCTAATTAATCCAATGTGCAACGTTGACACAGACACGCAACATACAGTGCCTGCAGACCCACACCTGTGTGCAGGTAGTGTTCCCATGCCCTCCAGCTCCTCCCATCTCTTTTGGGTGCAATCTGGGTGATCACTTAGGTTTTCTAGGCCAGAGTCATCTTTGCAGTACTCATCTGCTTTCTGCAAGACAGAGGAAACAACGCAGCACTCCAGTTAGAGACCCACATTTATACTGGGAAGTGACAGTCCGCACGTAAGGCGCTCAAAAGGAGAAGGACCTCAGTTTAGCATCTTGCTCGTTCTTAACCAAGAGACTCCCTTCCCTCTTCCCTGCCCATTCCTGACTTGTTTTAGCCAGTGTGGAATTCTGCGGCCACCTAACCCACTAGAGGGCACTAATTTCTACAGAAACAAGCAGAGCCTGTAAAGTTGGAGACTGTGATCCCTACAAGCAGGCCGGAATAGCAACATGTGCCCCAGGCTGTTTGCCAACAGGCAGCATCGTTCCCTCTTTGATGTAGCTTTGTTAATGTGTAAGTTCAGTGCACCCGACTGCCTGGTCCCCCACCCCGCACTRCTCAGGATTCCCACTGTATTTTTTTCCCCCTCACCTCACTCACATCAAGTGGAATTCCTCTGTGCAAATGAAAGACATTTGTCCTACTATAAGGCAGGTTAAACACCACAGCCTCTATCTGCTGATAGACTGATGATCTGCATTGATTCCAGATCATCAAACACAAACACAGGTTCCAACACCTACTACTGGAAGTTTAGCATGTTTTATTACAACCGTGTATCTGCAGTTAACTCAAATGCACATTCACAGAGCAGAGAGAAACTTCCCACTTCACATTCTCTTTAATGAGATGTTGTAGCATCTCAGAGAGCAGCACAGGGACCTCTTCTTACCTGAAAGTCTCTTCCTGCTCCTCTAACTTGTGTAGCTTTGCCAGCATCTTCTGCCAGAATCTAAATAAAACTGAAAACTTATTCCAATACTACTAGCAGAAGGACTTTGGCAATTATCAACAGAACACTAGAAATCCAGGCACTTCTCCTAAACAGTAGTGACAAGTGATAGACAGTAGCATAACAACTTGAGTATCATAATGCTAGACAAGAGTATAAGATCAGCATTTGAAGTTCTCAAGTTTCTAGTATTCTAAACCATTTAGCTGAGAGCAAGCAAARGCTGCCCCATACACTTCATTTGTCTCATTCCTCCTCCACCCCAGAGGAAGAGCATTCATTTCTTACTTCCATTTCACTGCCAACAACTTTTGCCCATTCAGGAAATTGTTCTTTCACATACGGAAATTCCTGGAAGCTTGCTTCACATTTCGGTGCATCACTTCCTTGCCGGCATCTCCTTTCAGCTCCATTCTCTTCTCTCAGTCACCAAAGTAATGAATTTAAGTCAACCAGTATTTCCTGTAAAGAGTTTAAATATTAAGTACTAACCCTGAAATAAACCTCCTGCTTCCCAAAACTACTGTTGCACAAAGAAGAAAATCCCTGAGAGATCACATTCTGTTCCCACCTGGACAAGCATTTGCTCAGCTTTGTTTTAGCCACAGGTTAACAAAGTTTTAGTCTATCCAGTTCTGATCTTGTCAGAATTGTATTTAAATTCTTCTGACAGATTCTTGGCCCGCAGTTTGTTAGCAGATCGTTGTTGAGGCAAGATGTTTGAAATTAGAGTGGCTTTGAACAGGAGAGACACATGGTGCATTTATTCTCCAGTTCGGTGATTATCTCTCTGCCTGGCTCCAGTCCGAACACAAGTTCACCTTGGGACATTGCAGTAGCTGTTGGCTAGTTTGGGAGCTAGTGAATGTTTGCTGGCATAGGCACCGAACACATTCGTGACCAGGGTTTGAGCACAAACGCAGTTTGTGCTTTCAGCTTCTGGACACTCGCGCTGCCCCTGGCCACCTCTGATTAAAAAAGAAAAGAAAAGAAAACGAAACAAACAAACAAAAAAACCCCACACTGCACGCAGGTTTGGTTGACACAGAGCCCCAGTATATTCCCACACAAATTCTGCAGACAGACATCAAACACATCAGCCGCGCTGTCAGTCTGGACCTCGCGCACCCGAGGTGCAAGGGTAGCTACTGATAACACAGGAAAACATTTCCCTGGTTTCTCTAATTGACTGTCATTTCACATGCAGGTGCCAGGGGTGATTTGTCACCTCTCATTGCAAGYGGTTGTCGGCATCAGTGCTGTGGCCACAAGCTGCTGGGCACCACGCTCCCATCGGCGCTGCGCCGCGCTCCTTGCTGACTTCTTCCTTGCTGGTTCGACCGGCACAGCGCAGAGCGCTCGAGACTTCCTCACTGTGAGCAGCTTTGCAGCGACTGTGGCCATCAGGATTGTCTGGCTGTCCCTTGAAAACCTTAAGCAAACAGGATTAGCTGCCAAGTTCTTCCATCAGGGAAAGCTAGGCAATGGCAACCCYCCACGCACCACTCTATCCCCCATTAATGAAAGATGCTCCTGTCTAGATTGCCTCAAAAGCCTCATCTGCTGAGATTCTACTTTTTAGGACTCTCTTATTCTGTAGTTAAAACATCTCCACTGATTATTTCCCCTTGTCACTCACCCTAAATAAACAGCACATTCGTCCTTAGTGCTGCAGAGCAGGTGCAAGACTTTTAGAGTAAAATTGTACTGAAGATTTTGTTAATTATGCAAGGTCTCTTTCAAGTAAGACTTAAAAATTTAACGTGTCATTTGGTCTTCAGGCACAAAGAAAGCACTGCATACAAAACTGAGAAACCAGGTAGGGTGTAAACGCAGATACCAAAATGCCTGGGATTTTATAAATCGTTTATAAGCTGTAAAGACATAAAACATCTCGAGCGCAGCTCAAATGCACATCTGCTGAGAAAAAAGAAAAGAGCATCTTATATCCCACTAAATAAGTTAAAAAAAAAAAAGGAATTCAAGGTGCTACTTAACTTCTGTCAGATGCCCCATAGGATGATAAATTTGTATTGCAATTTTGTTAAGGTTAAAAATAGACTTCAGGACTGCTTTAGAAAAATAAAAGCCCACTTTCTTCAGGCCTCAGCTCACTTCATCCAGGTTAAGATAAATTCTGAAAAGTTTGTAGTTCGATTTTTCAAACAGCATATTTCAGACAGTGCAAACTTCACCTTACTCACGCTAAATTGCTGAACAGATCGTTTGCTGTCTGTGAACAGACTATGCAAGCACTTCTATATATACTGGCCCAGAACTTTAAAAATTAATTTAACTTGGCATTCTTTTCCCACGTCTTCCTTCTACTAAATAATTTTAGACTTGCCATGCTGTTCAGAGCAGGACCATTGCATTCTGACTCCCAGTCGAGGACAGTGGGTCCCCAGTCACAGGTACCTTAGCAGCCAAGGTAAGRTTTACATTTATGGAAAACACAAACATCTGTGAATATGGCAGACAGCCTAAATCCAGAGGCACAGCTTGCGATACAAAGGGTGTAAAAAAGAAAAGCTATGTGAGACCTTCGGAAAATATCCTGTTCTTAAGACCAGCAGTTGTACCTGTGCAAGTTGGACTGGAAATGAGTATCCTCTGATAGGGCTGACAGAGAGGGGCAGAAGCATCGAGCTGAACCGCAGCCAGGCGCCAGCTGGCAATAGATGGAGCTAGTGGTGCACAAATGTGCTCTGAATAAGGGAAGAAACTTACCTGCACATCTGCAAAAGAGCCAGCCACATACCTGGGAGGATAAGAAAAGACACTATATTACTAGAAGGTAAAACAATAATTGTAGGACATCTGCTTAGTTGTCAAGGACCAAGAGGGAAATAAAGCTGTTGTCCCCTCTAGCTAAAACCTGCTGTTTCTTTTTCCCCAGACTCCCAACCACCAACTGCTCTACAGTTTGTATGCCAATCCAATTTTGACGCCTCTAATTTACCCCAGAGATTGTTTATTTTAACTTTATCAAGTGAAGAGGAAAACAACTGTGTTAGAAATAAAAAAAAAAGAGCATCTGGCAGCAGGATATTCTTTCTCTCGGACAGCTTTGCAGCCTWGCCCGTGTATGAGGAGATGGGATTTTAATTTACCCAAGGGCTGGAAGACAGGGAGAAGAGCGTGCAGGTCACCCCAGAATAAATCTGTTTTCCTAAGGATGATCTTTAGCAATCTGCGGGAAGCCGTGGTCCCAGAATACGGCATTGCGCCTTGATCCAAGMACCAAGCCTCACCTGGCACTCTGACACAGAGCCAAAGATCACGCAGGACCCTCTGGTGTAGCCCATGCCAAATAAAAGCAATCTGTGGAGTTCTCCCAACGTGGCAGTGCACTGCGGGCAGCCCCAGAGCAACGGGGCCTTCTAGAAGCTGACAGATGCCAAGGGCACGCAGCAAAGCAGGCATGTCCACCTGAGGTTTCACCCTCAGGTTCCTGCTCCTCCTCTTCAGCAGACAGAGCTGCTTCCAGCCATGGCACCAGGCTTCAATTTGCACCAGCGGGGTGTCCCCATGGCACCTCCACAGCCCCATCGGGAGCTCATTCTTGTTCCCTCTGCCAAGTGCTTGTGCGCATTTAACATTTGAAACCAGTAACATCTTACTTAAATCTTTCTAAGCAGCAAGGCTTGTAATTTCAGTCACCTGGGCACCCAGAAAGCAGATCTGAAGCGTGGCAGTCTTTAGAAAAGTCCCACTACGTGCTTGCAACGCTCTCAGTATCTGGAGTTGTTGCCACCAGCTCTGCTATCTAATGATACATTGGGACAATCTCTTCAAAACCTCAGTGCGCTACCGGAAAAGGTAAAGTGAAGTCCACTGCAGTTCATCCAGAAAAATACTGGGTTGATTTCATTGACCTTCTTGACACACAGCAGGATTTCCCTGATTTTGGAAAGGGTATTTCTATCTCACCATATACTGTTGCATGAAGAGCCCTGAATTCTTGGGCGGATTTGCCATTCCTGCTGAACAGCTCTCATGCAAAAGTTTCTTTTTGTAAGATCCACGTATAAAATTGCATTTTTCCCCTTTTGACCCTTGCTTTCCTTTGGCTTGGAAATCCACAAGCTTTATCCAAAACGCACTGCACAACGTGGAGYCCACGCAGCATTCACTGTCGCTGCAAACACGAGGCCACCGAGGCAAAGGAAGAAGCAACAGGGCAGGGCGAGTCCACGCAAGGTGTAAACAGAGGCCGAAACACTGCCCGTTTGGTACAAACTTTCCGTTTCACACAGAACAACAGAATGAACGAGGTTAACGCGGGCAGCGCCTTGCCCGCCCGGGCCCCGCCGCGGCCGCCATTTCGCGGCCGGGCCCCGTGAGGGAGCGGAGCAGTGCCCAGTGCTCGGGGCCCGCTGCTCGAGGCCCGGCTCGGTCCAGGCTCGGCCCCGGCCCCGCCGCCGCCCGGCGCCGCTGCGCGCGCAGGCGGACGACCCGGAACCGCTCGCGCGGCGCCGCCCGCCCGTCCCTGCCGACGGCGAGAAGATGGCGGCGCCCGCGGGGCTCCGGGGGCGGCCGCGGGGCTCCGGGGGCGGCCGCGGGGCTCCGGGGGCGGCCGCTGCCCGGCGCCACTTGTCGCGCCGTGTTGCAGGAACGCGCTGGTGGAGGCCGAGCTGGGCCAGAAGGGGCTGCGGGTGCCCGCGGCGCGCAAGACGGGCACCACCATCGCCGGCGTGGTGTTCAAGGTGAGGCGGGCGCGGCGGCGGGCGCTGAGTCACGGGCGGGCCGCGCGGCTCACGGCGCCTCCCCGCAGGACGGSATCGTGCTCGGCGCGGACACCAGGGCGACCGAGGGCATGGTGGTGGCCGACAAGAACTGCTCCAAGATACACTTCATCGCGCCCAACATCTAGTGAGTCTTGCTGGCAGCAGCCCGGACGCTTTCCTTGCGGGGAATAAGCGGTGTTGAAACGCGCGTGTAGCRTCCAGAGCCAGCTGTCCTGGGCCACGCTGTGGAAACGTGGAATATGTCAATAAAAACTGGATTTTCCCCTCTCTACCTGCAGAAAGAGGAACACAAAATGAGTATTTACAGCCCAAGGGTGTTTGTTACTAGATTTAAAGTTTTTCAGCATGTACTTCTATATGGCATCCTCTAGGGTTACTAGTAGTGACAGTTTTGCACTGAAGGAACTCTGAAAGTCTTGGGACAAGAGGAGAAGGAAGCCCCTCACCAACTATAAAAGCCATGTGGTTCCCTTGAGAACACACTGGGGACAGGAGGGCGATTTAGGGTTGTTGGATAAAGCAAACAGAGGTCGGATTTGGCCCCACAGAGGCATTTCACTCCTCACCTTTCCCAATTGCTGGCAATGTTTTCCAGTTGTTGCGGCGCTGGGACAGCGGCMGATACCGAAATGACAACTCAGCTCATTTCTTCCAACCTGGAGCTCCATTCGCTGTCAACTGGCCGGCTCCCGAGAGTTGCCACA